AATATTTAATTTTTTATTTTTTATAAGCTTTTACATTTTTTTATTAAATATTTTTTTTTTTTACTTTTAGGGGTTTCAGGGGAAATATTAGGGGTCTAAACAGACCCCTGATCTTTCCCTTTTAAAATAGAAAAAAAGATTGAGGACACAAAGTTTTTCTGTAGCCCCAGTTATCAATAAACAGGAATGCTCTATACAGCGTGTTCCTGTTCATTGATAACATGAGAACATGTATTTACTATAAGCACAATGATGAATGAACAGGAGGTGATGTAGATCACTTCCCATTCATTCATAATTGAGGATATAGTCAACATACTCTGTCCTCAATTATTTACAAACACTCAGCGATCACTGTGTTTGCACTTGCTCTCCTTCCTGACACAGGAGGCTGATCGAGCGGTGCAGGGAGAAGAGCTCAGCCTTCTGTGGCTGTCTCCGCCCCTACACCGCTCTGCCGGACTGTGATAGGAGGCTGAGCGGTGCGGGGAGGAGAGACGTCGGCCACTCACAGCACTCGGCCGGCTGTCACACTTTCTCTCCTCCCCGCTGGGACACAGAGCAGCGCCTTTAGCCAAAAGTGCCATTTTCGGCCAATATGTTTCGGTGACCAATATATCGGTGCATCCCTAGTTGATACCCACAATTCCGGTTCCAGAATGGTTTCAAGGGTTCTACTCCAATCTGTGTACTGTTTACAGATCCAAAGGGAGCACGCACCCTATCTTGGATTTTAAAGCTCTGTGTCTTCAATCAAGTCCACAAATTGTGCATGGAATCCACCACATCAGTGATCATCTTCCTTCAGCTTTGTGCACTGGTGCGCAGTCATGTTGGAACAGGAAGGGGCCATCCACAAACTGTTCCCACAAATTTGGGAGCATGAAATTGTCCAAAATGTCTTGGTATGCTGATGCCTTAAGAGTTCCCTTCACTGGAACTAAGGGGCCCATCCCCTGAAAAACAACCCCACACCATAATCCCCCCTCCACCAAACTTTACACAATGCAGTCAGGCAAGTACCGTTCTCCTGGCAACCGCCAAACCCAGACACGTTCATCGGATTGCCAGACAGAGAAGCGTGATTCGTCACTCCAGAGAGCATGTCTCCACTTCTTTAGAGTCCAGTGGCGGGATGCTGTACACCACTGCATCTGACGCTTTGCATTTGACTTGGTGATGTAAGGCTTGGCTGCAGCTGCTCAGCCATGGAAACCCATTCCATGAAGCTCTCTACGCACTGCTGTTGTTGTGCCAATCTGAAGGCCACACGAAGTTTGGAGGTCTGTAGCTATTGACTCTGCAGACAGTTGGCGACTTCTACGCACTGTGAGCTTCAGCATGTGCTGACCCCGCTCTGTCATTTTACGTGGCCTACAACTTCGTGGCTGAGGTGCTGTTGTTCCCAGTTTCTTCTACTTTGTTATAATACCACTAACAGGTGACCGTGGAATATTTAGTAGCAAGGAAATTTCACAGATGGACTTATGGCACAGGTGGCAACCTATCACGGTACCATGCTTGAATTCACTGAGCTCCTGAGAGCAACCCATTCTCTCACAAATGTTTGTAGAAGTGTCTGCATGCCGAGGTACTTGATTTTATACACCTGTGGCCATGCAGGTGATTGGAACACCTGAATCCAATGATTTGGGGGCGGTGTCCCAATACTTTTGGCAATATAGTGCAGGATGAGCCATAAGCACTTCTGTCAGTTAGATTCCAGTAAGGAAAGATAACACTTTATGTATCTCTACTTTCTCCTCCTCTCTTCCCAACCTGAAGGTTTGTAAGCTCAGGCTCAAACAGAAATATAAATGCCTCTCATTGTGTAGTATTTCACAACTCAAAATGTATTAGGGGATTAAAAACACTTACATAAAATATCATAGTCTATACTGTTTGCCATAAAAAGATATGTAATAAAATGATTCACTATAAAAATGACAAATATAGCCATCTATCTAGCTTAATATCACATAATTATTGTAAGAATTGAATGATGTGACATTAAGCTAGAGAAGCCCCCTTTCACCATATGTGTTTTAAAATGGGTATAATATACAATTGTAATGCCATTTACTTTATATGACCCCCTTGTGTATATGTGCTATATTTGTCGTTTTTATAGTGAATAATGTTATACATATCTTTTTACGGCTAACAGTATGTGGTCCCAAATATCTAACATTTAATCTTTACAGCTCCGTTTAAGTTTTATGGCTCCATATGTTGCTCTTATTTTTTATAGTCTTTTCCCTTTTTATGAACAAATTGGCTTTGAGACCTATTTTAAATTGGGTTGTATAAACAGATTTGGAGTAAGACGTGAGGAAAGATCATGCGTAGGACTCGTGAACTGTTTAGCTCATTGAAACGAGATTGGATGCTGGAGACTTCTAGTGGCAGTTTTTGTACACAGCACTATACTGTATACTTAATGTGTAGAATATTGGGAGAATAAACAGGTGAACAGGAAGCGTCTGTACGCTCACTACCCCCTGGAAGAATTCCTTGGTGACGAAACGCATCGGGAGGGCGGAGTATTCACACTCTCCCTGATACTGATGTGCTGTGACATGTACGATTGGAGACGTTTTTCATGCGATTGAATGATCTTTTATGTAAGTGCTTTTAATCCCCGATTACATTTTGAGTTGTGAAATACTACACAATGAGAGGCGTTTTATATTTCTGAGGAAGGAAGCGGTGATAAATAAAGTGTTATCTTTCCTTACTGGAGTCTAACTGAGAGGAGAAACACCAGTGACAGAAGCGCTTAGTGCGGTTTAATGGTTTTTTTAAAACTTGCGGTAGAGTGAAGATCTATGTGTATATACATTAACACATAAGGTGTAGTTTATGAACACTAATTGCACCTGGTTGATTAACTTCTATAAGTCTTGGAAGAAAGAGAATCTCTTCACTGATAATTGGACATTGCACGAAGCTTATCACTATATTTTCTTTCAATTGATTATAGTCAGGGCTTGAAAAATCCTGTGACAAGAGGACGCTGGAGCCGGACGAGTAGCTTCCCGGCTTTACATTCAAGCGATTGGGCATCTAGCGGTGATTATATACCACCAAAAGAAAGCTCCGTATGTCCCAAAAAATATTAACATAAATTGCAAGGCTATAGGCCGGTCATGCTGAGTGGTAATATTTTTGACTGACTGGTGAGACGCCATCAAATTTTTCAAGCCCTGGATATAGTATATGAGTTATTTATTGTTTGCACTTCTGAACTGCATAGATTGATATGCCAGATATATGATGCACATGTTGGTTTGATGTTGTTCATTTGGGTAGAGCGCAGTGCATGGATATTTATTATTTTGTGGTGTTTTCACTTGTTAGCATTGTTTTGTATTTCTACACCTGAGCGCGGCTAAGAGGGTTAATTATATATAATATGAAAATAAAACGTGCAGATTTGTTTTTTTCTTTTTCCCATGCAGTAGTAGCTCATTCTAAATGAATGGACTGCCTTGATGCAATGCACATAAATGTATGAAATACTGCATGTTAATTTGCATGCAGTAACCCATCTGACTGGATGGGCAGATGTGAAGAGGGTGAGATCAGACAGTCTAATATAACATGGGTGCAAAAATTGAAAAAAGGGCCTCAGTCATGAAGGGGTTAATAAAGCTATACAGGTGATGCTTATAGTTAGTATACAGTAGATCTTCTGCATGTCGCATTATTTAAGGTGAATAAGGTGAATATGCATTTAAATTAGACTAATGCAGTGTTGCCAAATTCAAACGTTTCCCCAGTCTTTCAAATCTGGTTCAGAGGCACTGGCTTCTGTTATAGGTTATAACAATCTATAACCAATGATTGTTAGCTTAAATCCATCCCTTTCCAGTATTTCCAGACTGCCAACAGGAAACATGAGTAACTTGAATGACATTTTCAAAGTGCCCAGTCAACTTCTGCAGCAATCATTTTTCCCCATACATGGTTCCACATTTGTATGAGTGCTCAATTAGTTTGTGCCTCCTCAACCTTTGCGAAGCCTGGAGCTGCATGGCAGCCATCCTGAAGTAAGGAACACTTTGTTATAACCTGAATTTAATTTGCTAGCAAAATAGAGTGATTTTATTTTGAACAGAACGCTGTGGTACAATACATTTTGTTCATTACAAATAATTTACAAAACATTCATCAATCATATTATATGCCAGCTTTAGTGACTGCAGAACATCAAAAGTAGCCCCGAGGCCTATGGAACACTTGCAATCCTGATGCGGCACTAAGAAGTGCGGAACTGCTTCCACCTTGTTCCCTCTTTGCCCACGTTAGTGAGGTGTCGCCAGCTACTGATGGATCAACATAGCGGAAGCAGTTGAATATTTGTGCTATAAAGGGATCCTGTCACTGCCGAGCTGAAAGCACTGGCAGTATCACCGGTGTGTTGACATGGCTCAAAACAGAATGTGCCACTGTTATGTTGTAGTAACAGTAACGAGTGAAAAAAGATATGAAATGTTTTACTTTTTTCTCCAAATGTTCAAAATATAGTCATATCATTTTCTTAGCACAGAACTAAAACGTGTATTGATGCCCACGAAGACAAATTACATATTTTCTACCTCCTGCACTATCACATCAGTACCACATGGTGGCAGAATTCTCACAGAGAACTATGCAAAAAAAAGTACAATCTCCCTTTATTTACAATCAAAGTACCCCGGTCTTTATGTTCTTTTTTTGTGTAATGCCTTATACAGTCTGTCATTCACAAATAAAGTGATCCGTTCAAAGATAATTTTGTTCCTTATTAGAAAACAAAATCATTATAGTCATATTTTATAAATCTAAGGTAAATCTATATCACAGTAGAATTTTACATTTCCCAAGTGCATTATGGGAGTAATATGGAAACATTCTACCCCAGCAGAACATAAAAATACACTTTTCAAATAAAAGGCAAACATTTTCCATAAGTAGATGATTTGTAAGGTCTAGTAGTACAAGGTAAAGCTGTTAGGGCGAGGACAGCCTAGCACTTACATGCGATTTAGACATCCGCTTGTGTTGGAAAACATTACCAAGTTTGCCCTCTCGTGTCAGTTTGTGTATTGGCTGTATTGTTTCCCATCCTTATTGCGCTATTAACAGTTGCTGTAAATGCCAAAGTAAAAACAACAGATGAGGTAGTAGCGGCGGAATGGCTGAACTGCTGCTTGCTGTGTATATATTTCCTCTGGGTTGTGGCTCCACTGTAATGTATCCATTGATGATTCCAATTTGTGGAGGAGGGTCTGTAACACTGAAAAAACAAGACAGGAAAATGTGTTGTCAGTTCAACTTCATGGTGGTGTGAGGCTAACAGGCCTATTCACAAAAGGGTGAAGAGTTTGGAGAAGTGAACAATCTAGGAGAACATAGCTGAACTGGAAAGTGAGCTGAATTGGAGAAGTTTTCCAGTTCAGCTATGTTGGCCTAGATTGTTCACTTCTCCTGCCTTCTCCAAACTCTTCACTCTTTGTGAATAACCTTGCTAATGTTAGGTGATAAATGATGAAAGGGAAACGATCAGGTAAGTTTCATGTCAGTTACTTTTAAAAGTGTTTGTGCATATTATTATTATAATACAGGATTTATATAGCGCCAACTGTTTGTGCATCAAGACAAGATGGCAGAATTGTATAGGTACAAACATCTATGAGAATCCTTTGTCATGTGTTAAATGTTATTTGTAAAACAAAGCCCTATGGGTTAGCTAAAGATACAGCACAGCAAAGCTTGTTGCTTGATTTGCAACTCCCTTTGTCTGAGAGAAACCTCCTATTGAAGCATTTGATACCAGAGGAGTGATTACACATGGAGTTATGTAAATAAGGGGCTTCTTTCTAAACAGGTGAAGAAGAGAAGAACTACCCCTGCTGGCTGGAGAGAAGACTGCAGCACATTAAAACCAGACCTTATGATTAAATGCAAGGTCTGCTTCTTAAATACTGACCCACCCCCCATTCTAAAATGCCACAATTTATATAGTGTATGTCCAGCCCAAACTTTTGTTCTTAGCATTGGATAGATTGAGGAAGGGTTAGTTGAGTTGTTGCTGCTATTTTTAGATAGGTTTTCTCTCACTTCCTGTCCTGGTGACAATGTTTTACTAGGTTGGAAGTGAGGGAAAATCTCCAACAGAAACACATAAAACGTTTTTGACTTGACATATACTGTACTTTAAAAAGAAAAATTCCCAGTACAATTTCTCAGAATGAGACCACAATGTAACAGGAATGTGGAGGTTGGACTATTGAGTTGTAAGTACAATGTGCGCATTACTGCATATCCATTTCTATAACTTCAACTGAGAAATAAAGTGGATCTCTGACCAAAACTTGTTAGGAAAGGTTAGAACCTTTTGTAAGGTATTTATTGGTCTGTATGTCACATGGGGAAGATTTCCCCTTACCGTCTGTACCAGTAATTTGTAGCAGAATGAGTAAGGCTCCATTCACACATTAAAGAAAATGCATTGCAATGTGCATTGTTCAGACTATTGCAGTGGATGTGTGTCCTGCAAAATAGTCCAGTAAAACAAATGGCAAATGCACTCATCAACTCATAACCAGCTTTAAGGAGGTTGGGCTGCCTCCAGGATATAGAGGTGCCTTGGCGCAGCTGTGCGGCTTTCACATTTTCTGCAGAAGACGTGTATCTAAACCTCTGTTTTTAACCTTAGCGGTGAGACAAGTTGTTTTACATGCTGGCTGGTGAGTGTGCTGGGAAACGTTTTGCTGTTGTACTGTAAAATAGTACAGGCGTGATTTTATGGGCGGATTCCGTGCGCTGCAGGTATAGTAATAACCACAATCGCGGGGAATTCGCACGTATGTTACCGTTTGCACGGTTTCGTATGGCACAGTTTTCTTCACGGGAAACACTACAGTTATGTGTGACTGGAGCCTAAGGTCTTGTTCACACCCAGCGCGGAGCAGGTGCAGAGCAGTTGCAAACCGGATCAAAACTGCGTCCAAAGTATTCCAATGGTATTTTTTGCTCCAGTTCACATCGCAGAGTTCAGTTCCAGAGCAGGTGAAAAAACTGCAGCAAGCCCTGTTTTACCTGCTCTGGAACGCATGCGAACGCATCAAACACGCATGCAAATGCCCGAAACGCACAAAGCCCATGTTAAACCAAAAACATTTTTTTTTAAACGAAAAACGGCCCGGAACGCATCAAAAACGTGGCACAACCCACTGCACTGCGGGTGCAGAAACCTGGGCGGATCTGCTCTGCATTTGGTGTGAACAAGGCCTTAGGGTTAGCACCTCTTTTCTGTATTACTGTCTCTATTTCTGTTGGGAGGGACAGGAAATAGGGCAAAATGTCCCAGCACAGACAGAAATAAATAGCTGACAGCTTCCATCTTAAACATTATACGGTATCTTTGTGCATTCCTTTTGGGTTGTGCATCTCTACTGAATGTAACCGAAATGATCATACACAAGTATAGCATTAAACATGCACTTTCAGTCCATTGATATACATACTATGTAACACATTTCTTCCTATTACACTGATTTGCATGCTACACTCCTATCTTTATGATCATGTTGTATCAGGTGTATGTAAGCCCTAATAATAAACTTTTCTTATTTCCTCCCTTTTGATCTGTTAAATAAGCAATACGTCCAATGCAACAAAAACTGTTGATCTTGTCCGAAATGTATAGCTGCCCTCTGCCGGCTTCCTAAGAGTCTGTTAAGCCCTCCGAGTTCTTATCTTGGGCAACAGAATGAAAAGCCTTTATGTTGTGGAGATTTGAGACTTGGGGTGGCTGAATAGTTCAACATAAGACACTAGGCAGTGCTGACACCTCTCTGTGTTGTCAGCCCACAACAGGATATTAAGAGCTGAGTGCATTTCTGGCAGATCAACTTGGAGGGTATTTAAAGGGATAAAACATGGAGAGATGTGCATATATTGTACTGCATATGTTTTTGTTTTCTTTTTTAATTTGTGTTGCCATATGCTTTCAGACGTAAATGCAGTTCATCCAATATGCCGTTTATTCACTATGATCAGTTAATACTGTCTGACTACCTTCACTGTTATGGATTTCACCACAAATTCACCCAAGTTTGTGGAGTGGTGACTATAAATGCCTTTTATCGTTCTAGCTGCAGTGTTTTGAAAAGCCGCAGATACTTTTTTTTGTTCTGTAGATGGACAGCTGCAATTGGCACCAAGGTATTATTTCACAAAACACACACACAGCCATACAAGTAGTCACTAATAGATTTAGCTGCTTTTCTGTTGGGGCATTTCACACCTCACTGCTGAAGATTTTCTGTTTGCTTTCCCTGTTTGTCCCCTGTAATCAATAGACTTTGCTCATGTGTAGCCATGACACCAGCAGTCTGGTTGCAAGGCCAGTGGTACAAAAGGAGTGACCTATATATTTTTATGTATGTGTTAGTTTAGGATCTACCTTTTCTATAGCTCACTAATGTGAAGTCAGTGAAACCTAATCATATAAGACAATGGATCTCTGCACTTCACACACTGACCATTTGCCTTATTAACAACTTGAGTCCCCTGGCCTTTTTCTCCCTTAATCCCCCAGAGTCCCAGAGGTTTTTTTTGTTTGTTTTGGAGATGCCTCAGGGCTGCATATTATGCTTTTTAGTGTTGAAACCTACTTTTATATGCTGTATTGTTTTTTCGGGTCAGAAAGGTATTGCTTTCATTTGGTAGCACATTATTATAAATATATTTTTATTTCTTATATTTTTTGGGGGGGGGGGGGAAGAAAAATTAAAACATTTACATTCCTGTCATTCTTCCCAATGCAACATTGATATCATTTGGGCACCCACAGATATTTACCCTAAAACATAATCGACAAACTTTGCTCATTACAATTATAATGCATTAGTATGATTTCTGCGTAACGTAGCAGAATGGTAAATGTTTGCATTTTACGTTACGAAAGCTTTATTACACTTTCTAAGCTGCATTGTACTGCATGCAGGAAAAAACTGTGTTTGTGTAAGCATAACATTAGGATCGGGACTGGTTGGCGAGGACACAAATTAGCACAATGGTGATTTTTTTTTCCCCACAGGTGTGCCATCACTAAAAATGACATTGCATTAATTTCTGTGAATATTTACAGCCCACACCGTAAATGTTATCTAGATCACCCAACAGTAATTGTTGGAACCTTGGCACTAATCTGGGGAGGAATTGTTTTTACATTTATTTTAAAAAAAAGATTTATTCTTTTATACACTTTTTTTTTTGTATGCTATCTTCTTACTTTATGGGGGTCTGGATCCATACCAGATCCAGACCCCCCCATGCAGCAACAGATCACTTCTAATAGAGACCTTTTGCTGGCTGCAATCAGCCAGCATTAGTTAATTATAGTTAGGGATGCACCGATACCAAGTACAGTACTCGGTACAAGTACCGATACATTTCGAGCTCCAGGACTAGACTAGATAAATTGTAAAAGTTAGGAGGCAGCTGTCATTTGTAAGGAGCACACAGACCTCCTGGGATTTGTGCATCTGTTTTAATGTATGATTTTGTTTTTATAAATAAAGGGATGCACAGATACCAGTTTTGCGAGTACGAGTACTGTTACTTGCCCAAGTACTTACAAGTACGAGTACTGATACATTTTTGTTCATTGTCATGTGACAGTTTTTCTAAAACAATACAGACTAATGATTTCAGGGCAGTGGTGGAGTGCCAGAGCCAGGTCCCAGCTGCAACCGCTGCAACCCTGGTAGTTCTCATGAATATGCCAAGTATCTGCACTGGTACTCGAAAGTATCTGTGCATCCCTAGTTATAGTAGTAATCTATTGTTGCAGGGAGATGCTGAACAGAGCTGCAACAGTTCAAGGTGGAAGCATTGTGTTTACAGTGATTTGCTATGGAGCATTGTGCAACAAGATCCGAAACCCAATAGCCGATTGTTTCAGCTCCTGGGCTTACTGCTGAATGCTACCTGTTAGTGACAGCCAACATTTCCAGCCGGGACCTGCAGTAGCCGCAATCCAGGTGCTAAAATGGTGCTTGGATGAATAGCCATTGTCCCTGTGCTGTTTAAAACTTTAACCTGGTCCTCAAATGGTTAAAAATATATCCATACGTTCTCTATTTACGGAATATTTTCTAGGGTAAAAACCTGACATTTGTGACATATGCAAGAGTTTCTGAGAACAGCACAAGCCGATACAGGTTGCTGCCGGTTGTGTATAATGTTTATCAGATTTAAGGAATATATGGCATATTCTGGAATTCAGAATCCTGCCACTGTATAGCCTGCAGCAAGGAATATCTGTAATGGTGATTGCAAGGTACATCAAATGTGAGTTGTTCATTAACCTGCATTTTGCCTCATGCTAGCCAGGATATTTGTTTAATAAACAATTTTAATGGTAAAAAAAGTTAATATTAAAGCACATCTAACATCTTACCAGTACTTAAGGCCCCTTTCACACTTGTGAATGAGGCCAATCACATCAGCCTCATTAATTCCTCTGTGAGAATAATGCAAATTCCTCTGTGAGACTCGTGATTTCCACCGGGTGGGAGGCGCTGTATAATCCAATGACAGCTACCACTACCCACAGGCTAATCATAAGTAATAGCGCAGCCTGCGCTTACCTGCAAATGACTGCACCTACACGTGGACTGTTTGTGTCCAGTTGCGATTGTCCGCAGGTAATAGCAGGCTGTGCGATTACTTCCGAACAGCTACTGGCAGTGCCAGCTATCTTTGAGTCTCATGGAGGAATATATCAAACCTATGTGATTGGCCTGATTCTTAGGTGTGAATGATTTCTATTTCTGTCCATCAAGTCCTGAGATTTACAAAGCCCTACCTGAGAAGCACAACAAGCCTGGTAACCCGACTTTTCTCTACTGCAGTAAAGCAACACAGCTAGGTCACCTCACTGCCCCTACTTGTGACTAGACAGTAAAGGAGCAACAAGAGACAGACGAGGCCATCTCTATCTTTCTTCTCCTTTCATCATGTTCTTTGTAAACAAATGTGAATGCAGGACAACAGATTGGCCCTTAGTACAGCCAAATTCAGGCATTTATTCTAGTTGCGGTTATAATACAATAAAAGTTAAGAAATCCATAACTACATTGTGTTTTTTAATATCTGTTTGGAGCTTCACAGCTTTGCCAATGCAGCAAACACCATTTATACACATCTCCATTAGTAAGACCTTATAGTAGTCTCATATTCATTACATTCCTTGCTGCAGAAGATGAAAACATTTTTGTCACGCCAAGTAATTTGTTCCCTTTATGCTGATTGAAAGTAAAGGTGACATTTTCATTCTCTTTCATTTTTATGCTTCATGCATTTCTATTTATGTAGCAGTATTTTTCTTATGTTTTTTTGTCCTTCACCAACCCACCTGTCTTGAATGCGAACCCAGAGATCGCTGAAGTGACGGTGATTTTCTTTCCGATGCTTCTTCTTTTTGTATTTTCTTTCAGCTTTATCCATTAGATGTACATTGTCAGACAATAGCAGATCAGGTAACAGCTCCTTGTTCCTGAGCATCTTTACTGGCTGCTTTAATTTGGAAATTCTTGTAGAAGATGTTGACGGCAGTCCCAACAGCAATGGCGAGGGCGACAGCTTTGAGGAGGATGGCGACTTTTTACTTTTACCGCTGTAAAAACACATTTTATAGTTTAAGAAACAAAAAAATAGAAAAAAATAAAAAACAAGCAGCATTTTTGATCATGGTTAATAAACAGCTGTCTTGTCATATCTTTTAAGAGAATAAAAGATATCTTGGTCATTGTGACATTCTTTTCTCCACTCTTCTTACAAAAATCCTCCATACTGTATGGAGTATTTGTATTGAACGGAGTAGTATTTGAAAAAGCATTATAAATAAAGCTGGCAAGCCCATATATTTACTCAGCAGATACACTATATGGTCAAAGGTATGTGAACACCACTCCAAATGATTGTGTTTAGGAGTTTCCAGTAAAGGGTACTGTTAATGCTATAGCACACAAAGACATTGCACGTTTCCACCCTTGTGTCATATGCTTGAGGAAGGTCTTCGATAGTCGTCACTGAAACAAGTGTCCACATTGGAAGATTTCCCCAAAATCCCTATTCTAGTAAAATGTATGATTTTTCCCTCACTTTCTTTCACAGTAACAGTGACCATTGGGGAACACAAGTAGCCACCCTCTAGAAGGAAGGACAGTGTCAACACCTTCAGAGATGATTTGAGGATCTACAGCCCAGTGATACACAAATAAGATACATATTTGTTAATAGTTGTGATACTTGAATACATTTTTAAGATTTAACTCCTGAGTTTCGTGTCAATTTAAGCTATCATAGTGGACATGGCTAAGAGGTCTGGCTACTATGTAGAGCAGGGGTAGCCAAACTCCAGCCCTCCAGCTGTGGTGAAACTACAAATCCCATGATGCATCTCTCTCTGGGAGTCATGTCTGTGGCTGTGAGAATCTTGCAATGCCTCATTTGTAGTTCCACCACAGCTGGAGGGCCGGAGTTTGGCTACCCCTGATGTAGAGAGACTCACTAATCACAATAGGTGCTATTGCCAACGCGGTCTGATAGGATCTGTGTAGAGCTGGCCCGGGGCCTACCTAATATAAAAATGTATTGGAAGATTTAGGTAGATCCTCATATTATACACAGTATTCTTGGAAAATCTACAAATATAGTACAGGGACTATTGCACATTGCACAGTCCGATTTTAGGTGTGTGTGGCCAGCTTGACAGCTTGCAAACGTTTACTGAATATGGTGGATATTCTTTTATTTATGGGTAAGCCAGTTAGGTGTGTAAATACAAAATAGTCTTACTGGGTGAAAATAATTTTGGTTGGTGATCATTTCTTTACCTAAAAAGATAGTATGACTAAGATTATGGCTTTTTGTGTATATTTTTTATTGTTAAACCTTTCTCTGACAGCATAATAGTCTAAATCTTACCTTGTGATAGGCCGCCCGGCAGGAGTGTGATGCACATCATAGCCATAGCTTTGTAACGCATCAATGACGGTGTTGTTTCCCATAAAGTGCCCTGTGCAAGAAAATTAAATACTTTTTCTTTTTTTTTCTGGTAAAAACATAAAACATTTGCTGTTACAGCCCACTGATGTTTAATAATAACACTAACAATGAAAATTGCTGCTGTCATACAAGACTGGAAAAATAATTCCATTAATTATGTTTTTTGGAAACAATTGACACTACTTTTCGATGACTGATCACCGCCGCTACAACAAATGTGTCATATTTTTTTCTACGTTATAAATAAAAGCACAGTTTGACTTTTTGTCAGAGGTTTGGCCAGCAGCAACCAGAATCCAGACATTCTGTTCACTGTGTACCAGAATTGTAATTTCCTGGTTATTGAATTGGCAAGCTGCTTTATCTAGCTGTTTATCTCTTATTATAACACTGGGAACTATCATGTGAATATAACTAACACACCCCACTCAGCACTCGTAAAGAAGGAAATGATTGCCAGTATCCACACAGAAAAAATACATACAAAGAATTTAACATTTTTAGTGTATATAAAGGAAGCTAAGAGAATTTTTTCCTGCGTGTGTTCACCTTTAAGCTCAACTCTGGCAGCAGGATTGTTTCAGATATATCATTAGTTCTGGGGATTACAGCTGGCACAGATACAGATACTTTTGGACTGTGAATGTACATACAAGTTCACTCCTGTCTATAGTCTTTCTAAATCTTACAGAGCCATCATCAATAGACTTTCCAAAGTGATCGGTAAAATCCTAATAGTAAAAAGAGGTTTTTCCTATCTAGATACAATCACACTAACAGACCCTTGCACTTTTTTTGTACTGGGACACATAAGACAAAGACACACTCTTTCTATTCTTCTTTTTTTAAATTTGTATTCAAATCTATAGCATCTTCTTTGAAACGCCTAAATTCAACTATCTCCTAAAATATTATTATACATTCATATAATGTGATGTGATATAGGCTATTGATTTCTCAACCACACACTTTTCCATAGGGTACAAAAGACACACAAGAGGTAAACAGATGAGTTCACAGTAAAGCACAAATTAAAAATAAATAATAAAAACTTCTTACCGGCTCCGAATGCAAAGAAAAAGCTTTTTTCTGGAAACTCCTCTAGCAGATCTTTCACTCTCTTCCCCATTCGCTCGTTCCTCTTATAAATGAGCTCTAGTCGGAAATAGTTATCAATCTCCTGTGCAGTTATTCTTTCTTGGGGTGGCAATGAGGAATTTATAAAATTAGGTACCTACAAAAACATTTGTATAGATTTTTTTTTAGCACAACCACATCGATTCTGTCATACTGAAGACACAAATTCAAATTTGATATTAAAAGCTTAAATAGAAAGTTTAGCCCTCTTTTGGGTCAAAGTAGCATATTTACCAATGCACTCCTGTGACCCAAACTTGGCATCTAACAGGCTAAAGCCCACTTTTTGCTGACAGCCTGCTGCAGCCGGGAAAAATCCTGACAATTTTTTCGGGATCCAACCCGATGCCTGATTTAAAGCTGGTTCTGCCTCTCTAGAGCCAGAGCCAGCTGTGCTTGCCCCCTTCTCATCTGTCCTTCCAAAGAGGAACAGAGAGGGGAGGGGGTAATCCATGTGGGGATCTCACATGGCAGTCACTGCTCTCTGCAGGGAGAAGACCAAGAGCTAAGTGATCAGTGGGACGGGATCACTCAGCTCCCAATCTATAAAGCTGGCGTGCGACACCTGCAGTGTCACCCACCAGCTCAAAGCATTGGGAAGAGTACATTTTCCTTTCACAATACTTCTCCTTTAACAAATAATGTAATAGTGTAAGTCCAGTCAATAATAGCAACAAGTAACCTTGACCTAATTGTTGGAAACATGACAAAAGTAATAACGCAGGCCACCAATCCTCCACCACCAGTGCCACAAAGATATCTAGGTTCACAATCATACAGCAGCACCTGCTGATCATCCCATTCACAGTAATATTTGCCTTACTATATGTAAGTATCTAGCTTGGTGTAGATCTCTACCTAGGTTAGATAAGGTCACATCAACTATCAAGGTAAAGATTTGCAGTCAGGTCCTCGGGGGTGATGCTTAGGGGACTTGAGCCCCTGTAAGTATTCTCCTGGTTCCACAGCACACCCAAATATGATTGGCAACACTGCAGCAGCAGAAGCAACGGGGTTGTCAGGGACACTTCAGCCTTGGACAGCAGCACAGCAAATGCAATAAGAGCAGGATAGAGGTGGGACAATGATCAGTGGGATAGATATATAAAGATATGGAGCCAAGCCCCCTTGCTGGCTGCAACAGAGCCCTGCTCCACTTGCATCCAATACAGTAGAGTACTGGAAACGTTGCTCATGATGCTTAGTTTGATTTATTTTTTCTTAGTCCTAATTATAGTTATTTCTATGCATACCTGTGTTTTTTTTATTGAGCGCAAAACTGCACATGCCAGAGGTCATTGTGCTATGCTTTGTGCTCTGCTATGGGCTGATAGCAGGGAGAACAAGATTTGACTTTACATCCAGTAGGGCCACAAAGAGTCATTACTAAGAGGAGCCTTTCATTCTTATTCACAGCCTGCACTAGATGCAAATCTAAACAATTATTCTGAGCTGTCAATAAAGTTCAGTTGGGTCAAAGAACATTGCTAAGAAGCTGCTGGTAGGAAAGCTTAGCATGGCTGTAAGCTGCCACTAAGAGGTGCCCTAGGATACTTTTTGCATTTTCCAGGCTATCCTTTCTGTTTTGTACAAAAAGCCTGTAGCTCAATAGCTTTAACTTATCATTATGCAAAGAAATAACTGACTCAAAAGTGTGTCTTATTCCCAACCCCCTGCTTGTTTCAGATGGGACAAACCATTAAAGTTCTGTTTTAAGCTGTCAGTTAATGCATAATCAACTGTTTGCTAAACCAACGTAGAAAGTTGTAGAATTCTGTAGTTTAGATGCAAGTAAAACATAGCGCAGTTGTTTAACGGTTTTACAACTAGGAAAACCACTATTCTACAATGGTAATGGGCCAGATACATCATTACATTTTTCTTGACACACAAAGGATCAGTAAAAGTTTTTGCAAGCGAGAGAGAGAGTGAGAGAGAAAACCAAACCCCAACATACTTGTGAAGAATCCTGGTTAAATAATATGGAATTCAGATCTCCACAATTGTAATGCTTGATGAGGTCCTCTGTTGTGTACGGAGCCTGGAGGCTGCCTGCTCTACGGCTCTCCTGTTGCAAGAGGGTCTGGTTTAAGGCGAATATAACCTGTAAAATTAAATAAAACTATGGGGTAAAAGTAACAAACTAGTCAGTTTTAAATATATATATAACATTTAAAAATATTTCGATAAAAGTTAATGTAGTATATTTAATAAAGTGATACTATGCACAACATGTTTTTCTATGCTGACATATGTATGCATAAACTGCTGCATAATCAAATGTCTTCAATTTCTAGAAGCCTGTACAGGGTTTAAAAAGGGACAATAGCCTTGTGTTCCTGACATGCATTGAAAGCACTTTGATTCCTTTTGAAAGGCTCAACACACATATGAATTCACTGAATAGTCAGCTTTTCTTTCCTCTGTAACATGGAAATACATATGGTCTCCAGTGTCTTTGTGTGCTGAAACTTCAGTGCCTATTCACAGGTACTGCAAAGCCAAAAGGGTGTCACAGCTGGGAATGAATGTGACAGTAAAGCTAACAATTTGACCCCGAGAATTTGACACAGGAAGTGGTTTTGCATTTATGTTTTAATGTCGGAGATGCAGGTGCCACTCCACCTATCCCCACAAACCACTAAAATAAAGGGGGGGGGCGGGGGGGTTATTTAACCTTTGTTCTACTTCTTGCTTATGACAGATCACAATATTACTGTCAAATGTCAGGCAACACTGAATCCTTTGACCCCAGCAGGGGATCAGTACATTACAACAGCACAATTATGCAACAGCACTTTTAATTAAACTGACATGATCGTGTCTATAGCTGGTCTGTGTTATATGATCACAAGAAATAAGCAATTTGTTTTAATAATCTGTGCTTGCCTAGATAACTGGTTTATGGGCTCCTGGGTAAAAACTGCTTTAAATAAGATGCTTTATTAAATTAAAGAAAAACTTGCATACCTCAAAAATGTCTTGGCCTAAATAAAGTTGGACTTACATGAGGCAATCTGTTTAAAAATGAGTGATCAGACTATCAGACAAGCATCTTTCAAGCACTGTGCACATATATTTAGTGCATGTCTGCAGATCTGGGTTATCCCTAATCACTTCTGAGTTAGCAACAAACAACTAATTCTAACCTGATTGTAGAGTCGAAGGGAGACGCTCATGGTATGTGTATACAATCTTTAACGCTCCAGACACGCAGATTTTACTGCAAGGTAGCACAGAAAATGCTTGTACTGTGCAATAAACATTGCCTATGGCTTTATACTTTACAACCTACTTTTAGTGATTTTTTTTTCTCTAACATTATGCACTTGGCTGACTTATTCAATCGAAATGAAATGTTGAAGTAAAATTAGAAGCCTGACACTAGAGACTAAACAATGTGGACTAGTTTTCTCATGTGAAGTTTTCAGAAAGCTTCGAGATTGACTTTCCAAATCATAATCTAATAAATGGATTGACTTGACATGCTGAGTTGAGAATAGAGAAACAGAGAGGATAGGGCAATTGACTGAACAGATGTGAGTGTTTTTGTTGTGAAGGTCTAGAAACTGGCGGGGTGGTGATTGGCTAATTTAAGTTGCATAATGCTATAATCCTTTCATATGCAGATCACTTCTTTGATCCCATGTGGATAAAAGGGCAAGGCGGGGGTCTTTTGTCTTAAAAAAAAAAAGAATTCAATGTCTGATGGACCCTTGTTCTTCTCCCACCCCCTTGAGATAATGTTCCCTATGCACTATTACTGCATAGGGAACATGACAGCTGCAGAAATACAACCAGAGACTATTCAAGCCTGTTTCCTTTACCAGACAGTTCACACATTTCCTTCTGAAAGGTCAACCATTTTCAGCAAAACTGTAAATAAGCACTGGCACTTTGAAATTGGATCAGTAGCAGGACTCATAGGCAATCTTTCTAGCCCAACTGCATTAGTTTTGTAAACACTCTACAGCAAAGCAAAAGAAAGATAACACACATTGGGCCTGACAATCACATTTCACAATTTCCACTTTTACTTTTGCACAACACTACATACTAGTTAATGCAGGATTCATTAAGAAACAGTCATGTAAAATTTGACTGCAATGATGATGCTAATTATAGGCAGGTGCATGTAACGAGTGTGAGTTTACTATTTATGTGAAGCAAGTTCAATATTTTAAATTAATAATAAACACTAGTATCTGATGTTCTTCCCAGTACGGTATGGTTCTTCCTTCTGCCATAGATAGCAGCCAGACACACAGGCATACATGCTGGTATTCATATGGCTGAAGGGTGAGCATACATCCCTCATGCAATGCCAATATCAGTTTGTATGTCCTTTAGCTTCAGGGATGCTTTGAAGGGTGTCCCCAAAAACCCTGCATCAATTTTAATCACAGATACCTAAGACTCACGGCCCTTCCACATAACTGATGCCCAGGTAAAAGTGCAGTAACTGGACAGGGGTTTATGTGTAACTTACTTGCCCCCAAATGGGGCAGATGAGGTGCTAACCCCAGTCCAGTAAACTGGTAAAGGGGACCTGCAGACCCCATAGCCATTCAAACAAAAAACAGAACACAGACTCCCCCCCCACCCCACCTTTGTTTACTAATTATTACAAAGGTTTAAAAATAATTCTGCTGTGGATTGCTTCATTTGGATATATCCCATGGGCAGCTTAAAGTATATTTAAGCCCTAACAATGAACTTCACTTATTTGCTCCCTAGTGCAAAAAAAATAAGGTTGCCGCATTGTTAGTTGACACTGCAGCCCTTTTGAAACAACTCTTACTTTTAGCTTATTATTTGCTTTATACGCTGGTAGTCAGGGAACAGCTACTACAGTATATTACTGCATATTCTGGGCCCCTGCTAAAACCACTATTCTGAGTGACTTCCCTCTGCTGTTAAAACACAGATAGTCGCTTGCTGAGTATAGTGGTCATTTACCATTCGGAGGACACCTCATATCTTTTTCAATGAATACTACTTGGTGATGTAAGGCTTGGATGCAGCTGCTCGGCCATGGAAACCCATTCCATGAAGCTCTCTACGCACTGTTGTTGTGCCAATCTGAAGGCCACACGAAGTTTGGAGGTGTGTAGCTATTGACTCTGCAGACAGTTGGCGACTTCTGCACACTGTGCACTTTAGCATGCGCTGAGCTCGCTCTGTCATTTTACGTGACCTACCACTTCATGGCCTACCACTTTGCAATAATACCACTAACAAGTGACCACGGATATAGATAGATATATCTATATCGATATATCTATATAGATATATCTATAAATCTATATCGATATATCTTACTAAAACTGGAGTTCTTTAACTTTATATGTGGAATTACTGAATACTGCATTATCTAAAATATGTGTGATAATCCAGATGCATCACAGTTTACTAGGGTCAAGGCCATAAATCCACACACATAAAAAACTCCCACCTTAATGTGTTATTTAATACGATGTTATTGCTTTAATTAGTTTGCCTCTTGAAACAAAAACAGTGCCAATTTTCAGTGTTTATTTGGCTGACATTTACTTTCTAATGTCATCTGTTTGCCAAGTAATTAATAGTCTCAGAACTGTAGATTGTCCAAGGAAATTCTGCGGCAACACAAAAGAATCATTCTTTATATGCCATGCCAAAATTCAGGCACTGTACAAAATCGGCTAGCAATGTAATATGTATGAAAATGTAACCCACGCCATTTTTATGTGGCTGCAATATTTGTTTTGCACATTTCTAGAAATACCAAACTTCTTTTAGAGTAGCTGATAGAGTAGCGCCAAAATAATAATTTGTGCAAAAAGGCTGCAAAGACTGTCCCAGAATGCAAAACTTACCATACTGCAGATCTCGATGCCAGTTCATCTACTGTCTCTCTCTCTCTTTCTTCTGCAATCAAGTTAGGAAGAATGTGATAACACCACCTCTCTGAGCTGAAGCCTCCTGCAGATGAAAGAGACACAGTTGATGAACTGCCTTCTGTATCTGCAAATTGGCAAAAATTGGAAACACAATCTTTAACATAATTTTATTTTCTATGAACCAATGTAGGAGGGTCAATCAAAGGTAATACCTCCAGTTCTGTAATTTGAGGTCCATTAGTGACTGCGGATGTTCATGTACCATGTTATAGAGGTGTGCTTATCCCACTAATGTATGCTTTTCTTTTTCAGATTGAGTTATTAGAGCCATGGATCTGCGGCTAAAACAATGAGCTGTAATTTAATTTCTGGAGAATAAGGGTTGCGCACCTGAGGAAATCCATAATCGCCTAAAGAATGTTTATGGGGATGCTGTAGTGGAATTTCGTTTTTTCTTTCTTGAAACTTCTTCAACCAATCCCCCACATTGCTAATGTCCACTACAGCTCCAGAAATTCAATTACAGCTCTTTGTTTTAGCCGCAGGTCCTTGGTTCTAATCACTCAATCTGAGAAAGAAAAGCGTACAATAGTGGGGTAAGAACACCTCTATATCATGGTACATGAACATTCACAGTCACTCTAATATAATAATGTTCGTGTATTCTGACAAATATTCTGATAAATACACAGAATGTTGTTTACATATTCAATTGCCAGACTCTTTTGCAATTATCAGTCTCATCCGCACTGTTTTTCTTTAATTTGTTGCACCTTATTTTTCTTAAAACACAACCAGCATGATGCATCATTAGCCACTTATTACTAGGTGAAATCTTGGCAAAAGAGTCACAAATCTTCCGATCAAGTGTACTTCATTTAGAAAACAGCAAAACACTTACAAAAATTGACTTAGATAAATATACATTGGGCAAATAGCTGCTAATTACTCCGCAACATCCAAGCTAAGTATTAATTACAAAGACATCACAAGTTGTTTGCAAGTCTCTATTACAAATCTGCCAAATTTAGGTTTTTGCCCGGAGATGTGCTTTAAAGAGACTGTAGCTTTTCTGTGTTCGTAATTAAAGCACAATATTACTAGCAACATGCTGGAGAGTCAAACTGCTGTCGAAAATTACTGGCAACATGCTGGAGAGTCGTACTGCTGTTGAAAATTGCTGGCAATACGCTGGAGAGTCAAACTGCTGTCGAAAAATGCT